ACTTCTTGAGTGGATATATTATCATCTTTCATCATACCAGGAAAATTCTCTTCCAACAAATCTTCGACAGTTTTTCCTGTGGTTTTATTTGTCTCTTCTTGTTCTGGAATTCCAATTACACTTAGGTTATTCCTTTTGATGGTATCCCATGTGAACCTTAGGCTTTCTTCGTTTTATTTTGATCTTTTTTCTGATTGATCCCTTTCCAAAGAAGTGTTCAGGTATTTGCCCACAATCTCCCTAATTCTATTTTCCATTGATCCAATTCTGTACCTTTGCCCATTCAATGTCTTATCTATTTCTGAAAATTTAGTATTAATCTTCTGGATTTCTGTCTGTAGATTTTGTATAATTTCTAATTTTTCACTTATTTTGTCATTTTGTTCCTGTATTGTCTTTTGAAATTGTCTAGGGTTTTCTCTGTGTTTTCCTTGATCTGTCTCTCAATTCATTGACGATACCTAAATGTAATTCTTTTGAATTCCTTATCAGGGAGTTCCAATGCTGCATCTTCCTCAGGGATGTGTTTTGGGTCTGTATCCTGGTCCCTTGTTTCTCCTGCTTTATCTTACTTCTTTGTGTGGACTGTGATGCTCTATTGTTTCTGAGGCATTGTGACGTTTTTATGTTTATATTTAACTGGTGATTGTTGGAGTGACTTGCCCACGATTTTCATTTTCTTTGTATGTTATCTATGCAAGCAGGGTACTATGTTCCTCTGTTCACTAGTTGACAGCACCTATGCACTCATCACCTGTCTTCTTTCCTATTGTCAGCCTCTCATATGTCCCTGCCGACCTTGGGAAATAGAGCCTATTCTTAGGTCCCTGGAATCCAAATGAGAGTGCTATCACTTTATAATCCACAATGGTTGCCAGTTGCAAAGATTCAAAATGGCTGCACCCTCAGTCACTTTAAATATGCAAAATGACCACTGCTTATAAACATACGAAGTGGCTGTGCCCTTGGTCACTTTATTTATTTTTTATTTTTTTATTAGGATTTGGGTGAAGATTTACAGAGTAAATTCACTTTTCATACAGCAGTTCACATATACTT